TTAAAATTAACTACCCAGGTGAAGATTCGTCAGACATTTGCTTCATAGAATCGGACGCAATTTTTTTTACACTTTGTATACGCTAGTATCTTATAAAAATAAAGGAGCAGTTGTGATATTTCAGCAGTTAGGGTCATGTGCAAGCGATTCCATTCTATAATTTAACTGGGAAAACGTTATATGCCAAAGAAAACACTTACATTCTTAACGAAATCCATAACCATCTTTTCTCGGCAAAATACGAGAGGTCTTATTAGCCGAAGATCTATGTCTCTAAAATAGAAGAAAATCCGGTTAAACAAATACCGTTTTCATTTTGTATTCTGACGGGTGACTACGGCTATCTAATTAAACATAGCCCTTCAGCAAAAGCAGTTAATGAGTCTTCAAACCTCCAAAAGCCAGATAAAATTACTTCAAGTTTGCCAATGTCGGGAAATCTGGCGACCGCTAATTGGTAGTTGCTTGTCGCTGCTTACCATGCATGATTACCAGAATCATGCATGGATTTTTTATATTCATGCACAGAATGAATAGCGAAGGAATAACTAATTGCCGACATGATGCAATAAATATTAAAATGCGCCTGCATAATAAACTTTAAAATACGTATGCAAATTGGATAGGGAAATGTTAAGGCATCTTTATGTAATATTTATGCGAATGATTCTGGACGATAATTGACGTAATTACAACGACTTGAATTCAGCGGCGGTCTGTATCTACCAAAGATGTTTTTAACTGGGTTAAAATGGGTAATGGTTGAAATTTGCAGTGGCATGACTGAAACTTATCCGCCCCCCTGAAATCTATGTTTTAATGGCCGCTGCATACTTTCGTTGTATTGACGATTGTATTTGGTTACAGACCTCGGAAATTATATTTTCAACAGAGCGTCCACCATAATTTATTTGTTGGACTGCGATGACTCAGTCGAGGTTCGACCATCTACCTCGAAAAGGATATTTTTGAAAGCACGTTCACTTCACTTATATGCTCGATAACAAAGTATGTCATGAAGCAGCAGAAAAAGAAAACAGACCCTTTGTACGGCAACATGGAGAAGATTTGCTTTTACTGATATGGCATAATAGTAATCCATAATGACGTCTAGATGTACGGACACTGTTCACCACTTGAATGACTTTTGGTTTGGCAATAAATGCCCAGCTTAGAAGTGTGCACGTCAACATGGGATGGTATTATTGGGGTTTACTTCTACTGGTACGGTCCTCACAGGCATCATGAATGGTATCCAACAGTGACGTTGGGGTTGTGCTGGGATTGTCGCGTTCAAGAGCTACTGTCATGTCTGGAGGTTTATTTCTGAGGGCGGGTCGGTCATATTTCAGTCTAACTTCTGGATGCATTCAAATTATAGAAGTCAAAGACCTGTGACAGAGGTAATTAAACCAATTGACAAACCAGTCTGACTACGCACTTTATTTCGACATTTGCTTCCAGCGTCTGAATAGTGCCATTGTGAAAAACGGATGATAGAAAACTAAAATAACAAAAATGAGAATATTATTCTGTGCACATATAAGTGTTGGTGTGAACATACGAAACTCACGGTATACTCTGCACTAATAGTGGTGAAAATGCAATTCCCGGGTGGCATATCAAAAGAAAAGGAGGCGTTCACCGGGAGAGGTGTATTTGAGGTCTGACGTTTTGGGTAGTCGTTTCTTCTACCCATCTTCAGAGACTGAGAAGTCATGCACACAGCCTTCCTTATATGGCGCACTTTGTTTGAGGCCCGGCCAGCCAATGCCGCCTGTGTGGCTGCATCCGACCCGCATGTCACCGTGACCTGAATCCCGCCCGTCTTCGTCGGCCGCGGCCATAATTGACGGCCCCGATTGTCCTGCGCCGTGACTGCCCCCCGTCAAGAATGTACGTAAAACCAGATAGGGGCGAGGTATATTGATGTGGCGGTTGACAGAACAGTCGGTAGACATCCAGGCTTCAGGCTCCTGCCTTGCCGTATGATCATCACCTCGGCCCACAATTTCAACGGCGTCAAAGTTGAAGACGTGTCCTATTTGGGCGGCATGGGTTGCTATCTCCGACTTTGGGTCCAACCTTCGCACGGCCAACTTATGCTCGTGCATGCACGTTTGCAGCCGTCGGCCGGTTTCCCCAACGTAGTTGCACATTCCGCAGCTGCGCTGAAGTCGGTAGACAACAGCCGACATCTCCTGTTTAGGGACCGGGTCTTTTGGCCGCATCACCTGTCTGCACTTTATTTAGTCACAAGTTGCACCCTCGTCGAGGTTGCTATCGTTGTGAATTAGTCAACATGAATCTTCATGAGTGGGCCACACATAGTGCATGTGAAAAAAACTATATAATAAAATCGAAGTTATTGATCCAACTGTGTACTTTCCCCTGTAAATTAAGTGCTTGTGCTTTTCTCTTACTACTAAGGTTTCAGTAGATATCATCTCAGTTCTTTTATTGTAATTCAGTTTTCATACTGACTTACCTGCTTTAAAGAAAAAACTAGCTAGATTCGCTTATGGTTACCATAACGAAACTCACAATATGAAGGGTAGAGGGGAGAAGTGCGCTAGTTATCCCCAAGGAACATATATATCGTGTTTATCATCCCCCGAGGAAGACGAAGAAGAGAAGGCGATTTCATGGACCAGATTGTATTCAAACTGGCGTTTCGGAAACAATCTCGTTTCCATCATCAGAGTCGGTCGCTGGCGTTTCCTGCTGGCCTTGATTTGCTCAACCTTGCCGCCTGCCTCGTATTATAACCGTGCCCAGCGCACACACGTTGGTTAGCCTGATTTCTGTTGGCTGATTGTGGCCTCTCTGATTCCAGCCATTGGCGGACTGGCGTGCCTTGTGTCTCCCTCACGCCTGACGTGGTTGCCGCCGCGCCGGCGTGCTAGTTGGCCTCCCCCTCGTCAGACGGCGGGCTGATCGATCGTCGTTCTGGCTCTCGATCCCCTATGTGAAGAATTTTTCAGAGACGACTTCAAGAGTTCTGAAACCTTTTGGAATCGGTGTGGCCCATAAACCAGCATCTTCAATCAGACAGCAGATAATGAGGCCCAAAGACCCGCTGCCGGTGACAGACCAATCAGCGGTGGTCTACAGCATATCATGCCAGAGAGGCCACAATCAGCCAACAGAAATCAGGCTAACCAACGTGCGTGCGCTGGGCACGGTTATAATACGAGGCAGGCGGCAAGGTTGAGCAAATCAAGGCCAGCAGGAAACGCCAGCGACCGACTCTGATGATGGAAACGAGATTGTTTCCGAAACGCCAGTTTGAATACAATCTGGTCCATGAAATCGCCTTCTCTTCTTCGTCTTCCTCGGGGGATGATAAACACGGTAATATATCTGGACCCCGAATCTTCACGCATATTGACATAAATATATGTTGAAGGCAGAGGCGTTCTTTGGGAAAAGGTATTTTATTGCGTGAATTTTCGACGCCTGTTCCCCAGGTCGTCGTCAGACGCAGACTGAGAGTAAATGTGCCGGCAACAGTTAACATCTGACCGCGCACACAAAAATCGATAATCGTTCGCGTTTGCGCTCGTGAGCGGCCGCTATTTGCGTCAATCCTTCCCGATTGGCTCTCGTCTCTTCCATTTCTCCTTGAGATTTTTGTACGCGGCGTCCAACTCGATATGACGGTTGATGCACGATTCATCCGAGTGCATGACCTCAAGGAACTCTCGGACTTTCTTGAAGGGACAGGTACCGACAATCCGTGTTCTGTTCCAAGCAAACGTATGTCCCGTGTCCAGGGTATGCATGGCGAGAACACCTGTCTCAAGTAGCCATGCATATCCTGGACACGGGGCATACGCTTACTTGGAACAGAACACGGATTGTCGGTACCTGTCCCTTCAAGAAAGGCCGAGAGTTCCTTGAGGTCATGCACTCGGCCTGAGATCAACTTACATGAGCCCCAACAACTGATCAGTCCGTTGACTGACGAGGGGGAGGCCGACAAACATGCTGGCTCACCAACAATTACGACGGCCGAAAAGGGGTCATTAGTGGCAGGAGCCGACCGGCGGTCAATCGTGGAGAGGTCAACGCTAATCGGCGGCGAACGGGCAGGTCAAATTTCGTGCCTCGCGCACGGATATAATACCAGGCAGGTATCAAGGCTGACGCAATCAAGATCGGCAGGAACAGTCAACGCATTACTCTGATGATGGAAACGAGAGGGTTTCCGAAACGTCAGTACAAATATAACTCGGTCCATGAATTCGCCCTATCTTCTTCTTCGTCTTCTTCGGGGGATGATGAACGCGATACAATATCTGGACCTCGAATCTTTACCCATATCAATATATATATATATATATATATATATATATATATATATATATAGGCAGAATGGTATTACCGACAAAGACAAGGGAGACTGGAATGGCCATTTCTGGCTTATTAGCCGTCGTCAGTCAGCCATACCCAAGCCCGAAGTGTGGAACACCCGAGCCTCGAACTCGCGACCTGTTGGTTTAGAAGTCCACGCCTCTACCCACCGGGCCACGAGCTCGTTGCCTTGTCGGTTTTCGATCGGGAATATATAATGGGACGGGGCGCTCACCGATCGTTCCTACGGAACCCACTCGTTCCGTTGTGCCTTAAGGGCTCTCTCTCTCGAGCCCAACCAGCAGCCGCACAGCGGCGCATGATATATAGGCAGAATGGTATTATCGACAAAGACAAGGGAGACTGGAATGGCCATTTCTGGCTTATTAGCCGTCGTCAGCCAGCCATACTCAAGCCCGAAGTGTGGAGGCTCGGGTGTTCCACACTTCGGGCTTGGGTATGGCTGGCTGACGACGGCTAATAAGCCAGAAATGGCCATTCCAGTCTCCCTTGTCTTTGTCGGTAATACCATTCTGCCTATATATCATGCGTCGCTGTGCGGCTGCTGGTTGGGCTCGAGAGAGAGAGCCCTTAAGGCACAAAGGAACGAGTAGGTTCCGTAGGAACGATCGGTGAGCGCCCCCTACCATTATATATATATATATATATATATATATATATATTATGACAGTGGGCGCTCGCCGATCAGGTTACGGAACATGCTCGTTCCGTTGTGCCTCAGGGCTCATACTAGAACCCTCGCAGGCAGTCGCACGGCGACTAGTAATAGACATAGATGAGATGGAGCCGACAAAGACAAGGGAGACCGGAATGGCCATTTCTGGCTTATTAGCCGTCATCAGCCAATCATCAGTCATCATCGAATCTCAAGTGACCACACTTGGGGTTGGGTATGACTGGCTGATGACGGCTAATAAGCCAGAAATGGCCATTTCGGTCTCCCTTGTCTTTGTCGGCTCCATCTCCTATATATATATATAAATATGTATGCATAGCTGAGGTAGTGTGCATTCCGAGATAAAATTATGAAGATAGAAGGTTCCTCGGAAAAAATCGAGTTGTACTCGTGAAGTTTCGAGCTGGTGATACCAACCCGTCGTCAGGCGAAACAAACAGGTGGCAGTGAAATTGTCGGACTAAATTGGTTGGCACGACAGGACAGTCACTGACAGGCAAGCAACTAGTGTATGAAAGGGGTAGGCACATAATTAAGCTAGGATCTAGGGCAGGGGAGGGGAAGGGAAACTGTTACAGCTCCCTGTGTTGGGAGGTAGCGTGGGTGACGATTCAATGGGACTTCAGACAGTGGACTTAGAGGTCGTTAATCTCGCATGGGGGCAGAGGTCAGCGCGCCAACGTAGAGGTGTTAGGGGTTGAGGTTGCGGTTCGCTGTGTCTGGGGTAGGGGTATCGAAACTGTGAGACTCTTTAGAGCCCCAGTATGGATTAGCGGCTGTTTTAACGGAGGCGACACGATCGCTGGGACAGGAGCTTTATTAGCCTGACGTTTCGGATTCCTGTCCGAACCCATCATCAGAGACAACAGCAGATACGAGTGGTTCATGCACAGGGGACTGCATTATTCATAGGATGCAGTCGCCATGCTACCGCATACCTATGAAAATTCACGGTTCCCCCCTTCATCCGGGATCGTCGCACGTGGTGTGCTAATTTTTTGATGGCCGACATTCACGTCGTTAATTGCTGCAATTTCATCACGTGTGTTGGATGTAGGTGTGATTTTGGTGTTAATTGTGATGACACCAGCATCCAACGCACGTGATGAATTTGCAGCAATTAACGAGGCGAAGGTCGGCCATCAAAAAATTAGCACACCACGTGCGACGATCCCGGAAGAAGGGGACTCGTCTGTTTGCCTCTGTTGGCAATTAGCGGTTGTTGTTAGGTCGTGTGTGCAAGTCATTTCGTAGCGAATTCTGAGGTGAGTTTGGCCCCTAGTTAGCAGAAGCCAATGGGCACATCTGGACGAAGTCTGACATCATCTGCGGTATGGTCTGGAAACGTGAAAAATATGTCACGCATGAGATAATTTTGTAAATTGTATCGTCCAAATTTGTTCTCCGAAAACCAAATGACATTCTGCGCCGAAACTGCCTTCCCAGACCGTGACAGACAGCTGGCAAGCTCCTTTAATGTGATCGTGAACATTGATCACGGTGTACTGACTTGACTGCAAAAGATCTCCGGTTAAGGTACAAAGTACTAGCATTTCGTTGTGTCTGCCTACCTATCCTTAAGAAGGGCTTGCTGAGATAATGGGCGGGCGTTAGGTATCGCTGTTTACAAGCGTAAGAATGCGCCCACTGTGGGCAAGGAAAAGGGTGGAGGTTTGACAAAGCCATTGTGAATAAGTGATTGACTGCGCCTGATCGTTTTGATGTACCCCCCTCAGGTGGTCTGCTCTGAATGGTTACCTTTTTTAAGCAACTAGCATACTCTAACTGCCGTTTGGGCTCAAGTTTTGAAGTGCAGGAGACGCAATACTTGCTATTACGCAAAAACTAAATGTCTGACGATTGAGGCGGCGGTATGGGTAGTTGCTATCTACAACAACAGGCAATGGCACGCTATGCGGGAACCTTGCATTTACAGTTTCGTCACTCCATAGACCTCCTAAATCACGTGTATACAAGTGGTCTGCGGTCTAGTTCCAACGCACGTCATCACGAGCACATCGCACAAACGTCTGAAAAGTTTGAATGACCGGTTCACTTTTAGGTGCAGTAGTGTCGGCTTAAATTAGTCCTCAGAAGGAGTTACCCATGGGACGAAGAGACTTAGGGCTACGTCTGGACGAAATCCGTCGTCATTTACACAGCAGCTCGAGGGCGCACAAAGCAGGAGACGTCTGTGACATGATAATCAATTGTGTGTAGTGCTTTCGCTGTCGGAACCGAAATCTCTCATGAGGTTTGACCAGACAGATTCATCAGATCACACTATGAGTTGGAAATTCCAACTACTTAAACGAGCAAAGTAGCCACCACGCAGAAAAATGGCGTTGATCAAGGGTTTGATTGTAAAAACTGGTGCCGTAAATACATGATTCTGATGCTAAACACTGGAGGTCAAACCACCCTTCTAAGGGTCCAGTCCCTTTCTACACACATTAAGACTCTGGTCTTTTCTGCGTATGTCGTCATAACACCTAAATCCTGATGACGCGAGATCAGGAGTTGGACTAGTACATACAGGAGTAAATGAAGTCCGGTACTGCAGTCATTACATTAGGTGCTTCGAGTAAAAAGTGAAGAAGACACCTGCTATTTTGCAACCAGGTGGAAATTGTTAAACCATGAAGACCAAAGGCAGTTGAACGTGTGCAAGCCAATGAGCATTCCTAATCGGGTCTTTATTCCCATTCGACACCCCTCGATACACTCTAAATATATTGGGTGAGAAAATATGCCCGTGAATAATAAACTTCAGTCTTAATCGTAGCCAACTTAAAAGACGTAAAACTCGAAAAATTCCACCACAATACCCTGATGGCGGACGTTGTGGTTTTGGCAAAAGATGTTGCCTACCTGACTGCCATGTCATCCAGATTTTGCGCGAGCGCAAGCACATTGTAGCCATATCGTTTGGCCACATTGACAATAGCTTCTTGTTTCAGGTTGGAACAGAGATTCACTGAATGTACGCGATAGTCACTGATTTCTTAGATGAAAAAAGTTTTATTCATTTATGTGTGTAGAGTATACAATCCTGTGCTGCTTTTCCACGCAAATAAAACTATAAGCAGTTTGCTTTGTTACATATCAGTGTATTGGTCAAAAAGTCTAAATGTAGCCCCTTCAGGGATTAGAGTGATTTCGTTTTATCTGTTAAAATACCGGTCAACTGAAAAGACCGCTTTCCAAGATAAAATACTGAAAATGCGCCAATATAGCAAATATTCTGTCTGTAAGGATCGGCCATCCACTTATTTGGCTCGTTCTTGTCCTAAATCGGAGTTCAGGAAGAAAGGCTAAGAAGAAAACGTCTTTTTGGAGAGGTGTGAAGATGGTCCAATGGTCGGAAACTCAGTCAGTTGCCTCCATAGGCTTGTGAACGGACTTGCAGCTCGCCTGCCACAATGAGCACAGCAGCGAGATTTCGATCCTGGCGAAGACGCTCCAAATGGCGGTAGAGCCTGGCGATGGGAAGTGGCCAAATAGGCAGAGGGTTGTTCTGCGGCGGGCACGCGAGGTAGGAGGGCACAAGAGCAGCTGCCTTGGTGTCTGTAGCCATATAAGTGGTTTCGGACTGGCTCATGCTAACAGGTAAAAGAACGCGCTCACACCATTGACTTCCACACAGTCCAGACACCAAGGAAAATTTCACCACTAGCTGGAAAGACCACTGTGCCGACCCAAATAGGAGGCAGGGTTTTCAACTCTAAACATCGCAAGCTAGTGGAGTTAAGAGGCATGCTACATTCCTTAACCGCTTTTTGGCTACGATAGCAAGACAAAATTCGAAGGGATGGGCAGCGCCCAAATGATTTCGCGCCAGCGTGCAGAGCCCTGCGCAGTCACCCCCAGTCTTGTGTCATCGATCGACGACTGGGTGGCACGCCCTATAATAGTCGTTCGTTCTGTCATTGCTGCTATCCCTGACAATGGACCCCTGCACGTGTTTGAAAATTCAGAACAATAAGCAGACTGTCTCAGTGTTCGGCCAGTCTTCTCCTTTACTTAGATCACGAAACATCCGAAACCGAAAAGAAGTGGTGAAAGACCCGGAAATTCCGTTGTAAATCCGGACAAGTGGGGAAAACCATTTAATTACTTCAGAGTGGCTTCACCAGTGCAGACTAAGTAAATGGTCCGCAATAATTATCGACAATTGTGAGGTGATTATATAAGACCTCGTGTTGCACAATTTTACGACAGATACTCGCAAACAAAACCGCTGGCAATCTGCTTCCTAGCTTTTAAGTATGAAAACCTAAAAAATTCTTAAT